CACGCAGCCCAAGTCACACGTTATTCCTCTGAAGTCTGAACTATCACACACAATTGCAGGCAATGACATGATTATGATTAATCTAATACCAGAATATTGCAGATGAACTGCAAATATCGACATATCAGTTGTAGATGCTTCTAATCGCTCTACTTCATTTGCCTGTCTTCTACCGCTCACAATGCCGTGACTACTAGGATGTGTCAGGGCTGTCGTTCTATCTTGAGACGCTAGTCGTCGCTGTTGTACTATTAGTTTGCTGGCGATGACACTCATCGTGGTGACAGTGACTGTAACAACTTTTTCCCTTATACTCTGCTCCGGCCACTTAGCTACTACTTTCTTACTGCTACTGTAGTGGAAGGGGTATTCTTTTCCTAAGAGGCCAAAACAACTATACAGGACTGGTTAAACAGACGAACTTTCCTCGCTTGCAATGACGGATTACGATACCGCCTACTCGTTTCTGCTTGAAGACAACTCTCATTTTTTTTATCCCCCGGGAGAATCGTATCAGTCCAAGCAAGGTCCAAGGAGGTTTCAATGGTTCAATCTGATTATACCTCCGTGTTCTGATCTCCCAGCAGATCCTAGGGTGGTATAAGACAGTATCAAATTGGCCAGGCTGTGTCCATTGGCCAGAGAGTGCTTGGGTGGCGTGTTGGACCCTCTCTGGCCAATAGATACTAGTACTGCCTGGCCTGGCCAATGTGATACTGTCTTATCCCCCCCTAGGATCTGCTTGGAGACTACCTTGTTTGTCATGTCCGAGTGTGGACAGTTCCTGTAACATGACCCTTCCATGATGTGATTTATCTGTTGTAAGCTGGCGGCAGATTTTGCGGGAGAGATGAGACCGTCACTAATGGATCCGACACGACGTATAATCACCCCGACACGGCTGCCATGTCAGCGACAGTTGGGGGCGTCTGTCCTTTCCCAGACACGAGAGGTTACGGGGGCGCAGAGGAGGAGACACTGTCACCACTTTTTGTTCGTTGTCCAGGTTGACATCTGTCTCAAACTCTACATCTGCATTCTTCACACTAGTGGACTCTTTGAAACAGATGTTGCTTGAGCCGGCAGACCTGAATTTTTTACCTAGTTATTTCCACCTGTCTGCTCCAAGCAGATGCACGCGAACGGTTGTGGCTCACACGAACGTCTTCTACGAGTCTTTACGCCGTTCAAACGATGAACGAAGGAGCTTTCGTTGATTAAAGCTCCTTGACTAGACGCACTTCCTAGAAAAAAGAAGCCGAAAAGATGGATAAAACTGACAAAAAACTTCAGAAATCGCACCTAATACATTAATCAGATGATCTCGTTATAACTTATAGAACAGACGTTCCGATCACTCTCGACCTCTCGGTAGGTCCGTCCGGTCCCGACCACGTCCTTGGTGGTCCGGGCGGTGCCTGATGTCCCTCCGGGCGAGCGGCGGCCGGTGATGAGTCCGGAGGGACGCGGTGCTGGCAGGCCCGTCATCGCGCGTGCCTCCTGTCATCCCCGGACGGACTGCCGGGACAGGCGGCCGACAGCTGGTGTCTTCTCATCTAATCATCTCCTCAAGCAGATAGCGGGAGATACTAATCTCCTAGCAGATCTTGTTAGGGCAGGAAAACCTACCCCCTACAATCTTCGTGGCTGCAAGATGCAAGACAGTAGCCTCTACCAGGCTTCTGAAGACAAAATGTACTTTCTAGCGGACCAACTCCCCTGGCATGTTATCTCTCTATTTGGCCAATTTCTACTCTTTTCCAGCCGCCTCCCGAAGCCGGGTAGAGGTTAGCAAGACATTATCATTGCACTGGAGAGTACACCACTAGAGAGCACAGTTTGCCCCAGCCGCCCCCCCCCCGAAGCCTGGTAGAGGCTAGGAGGGGCTTCCGAGTTATCGAGTGATGGGTCCTGTGGGACGGTCCGTCAGTGCACACGCCTAATTTCAGATGTGTATAGCGCTAGCGGACAGCTGTTGTATTTTCAAGCAGATGTTGTGAGTGTACATCTCCCCCTGGTAGTACTACTGTGTCTATTGAAAAATAACCACTACAAATGCATCGCTTTACATGTATCACTTCTGTATATTTTTCAATTTCCTTAGTTTTAATATCTTCCAGGCGACAAAACTAAAAAGAAAATCTTTCCCCAACGTCTACTTGAAGAGTAGCCTTTTCGTGTCTCCTTGTGCGCGGGCGTCCTCTGGCGGTTTATCACGGAAAGGCAGACCTTGACGAAAAAAAAGCCGTCAGCAAATCGTCCCAGATGACCCCAAAAGATCGGCCGGTCCTTTTGAAATCCGGCACACCGCTTTTTACAGCTTCATCTTTAGCCATAGGCTTCAAGCGGTAGAAAGTTACCGCGAAGCAAGGCACTGGTTTTACATATGCATCAAACTTCAAAGCTCGACGCTTTTTAAAAGTTTTAAACAAGTATCGTTTCACTTCAAAGCGCGCCGCGCGGTGTCTTACTCTTCGCGGAGAGATCTTCGGAGGTTTTCTTGAGGAAATCCGAGACACGGAGACCCCGTGTGTACACATCTTTTGTCACGAACGGTGGGGATCACGTGACGGGGGTATTCCTGAAAAAGCGACGGCTAAATTTGTTGGAAGGGGGGCAGGCTAGTGTGGCTAGCCCAGGCGTCTGTGTACAGTGTACAGTGGCGTGCCGACTGGGGTACAACAACTGAAAGCGCCCGCTTGTTACGTTGGAATGCCCTCTGGACTGAGACTGGACACGCCGGGAAAAAGAGCTGTGATCCGAGAGCCTTGAGGATTTGCGAGATCGCTGCGGTTGCACCGGTTGGATTAACTCTGAAGTTGTAATACTAAAGCGGAAGAGGAGGATCCAGTTTGCAGACTAGCCCAGGCCCAGTCAGCTCCTAAAGCCCGGGTGGATTCAGGGGTTCGCGTATCGGAAACCGGACAGGAAGGGTGCAGTGTTATTCCGTGCGGCAGCCCGGGGCGTTACGTACTACAGTATTGTGTGTGGCGGTGCCGCTTTCTTTCTATTTCCCCCCGTCGGCTGGCTAGTGAAGTCAGTCACCGTGCAGGCAGCGCGACGCCTGGTCGTGTGGTGTTCTCTCTCTCTCTCTCTCTTTACTCTCTTTTTATTTATCGCGGAAGTATTTTTTGGCGTGTGGCCCACTAGGGTACAATTCAGGATCCCCCTTAGGATATCGACAAGTCTCGGTGGTATCGTGGCTTGGAGTCGGCAATCGCGACTGTTGCCATTCCCGTAGACCAAAGGACGAAGTCGCGACGGGCCCTGTGCTTGTGTGAGTTCAGTTGTGTCTTCAGACGGCCTCTTGTTGTATAATTCGGCGGTTTCAGGATTCCTCTTCGGACGACAGAAGAGGTTTATCAACAGACAAGAAGTGGAGACCACTCGAAACAGTTTATCCTGGCCGAGGGACGATTCCTAGCATTTTTTGTATACCGTGGTTTTCTGATACCGACTCGGAGGCACTTTGGAACAGGCCGCGAGGGCTTCGCACCGCTAGAGAGAAACTCCAGCGTACAGTACAGAACACATCTTTGTGTTGGTACAGTACTTACTGGCAGCGGCACAACTTTTAGGAAGCTATTCCGAAAAGTGGGATCATTACTACAAGTATGAAGTGGGCAGGAGTACAGGATTTGCTGTGTTACTTCGGACTGTTGTTGGTTTCAGTGGGCTTGAAGGGGAGCCTGGCCAACAACTACCAGTACCAACTGTACGCCGACCAGTAAGTATACAAGTACTCTCTTCAATAGGAGCTTGTTATCAACTATAGAGGGATCACAAAGGTCGGACACACACAGATCCAAACAATCGGGTGACAATTGCATGGTTTAATGGGGCCGTCTGAGGATGTATAGAGTTGAGGGGGGTCTTGTTAGGATCAGGAGAATGGCGTGTATTACTAGGGGGTTAGCGAAAGGATCGTTACGCTTATGTTATGCTAATTAAGGCTATCCGTGTAGGGAAATGGAGTTGTGTATTGTTTCTGTTCCCTTTGTTTAATCGGACATGCTGCACAGGTCTTTGATGCATCACGATTGCCAGGGCCAGTACTACTGAATGGATGGAATGAATGAATGACATTCAATTATCTTTGATTAAATGAAAGCATTAATTATGCAAGCATTAATTGTGTACGAGCCAAAGCTGTGACGTGATTTTCAATCATTTTACACTAAATTACAGAAATAAAGTCCATGTGGCACTAGTTGTAGTAATACACATGAGGACATCTAAAATAGTAAAATATTTTCTCTGTGTTCTAGTAGATGTTGGAAAGAGGAAAAGCACAATTCTTTCTGTCTGCTCGTTTTTTTTTCTATGCACTAAATTCCTGTTTTCCAATACTAGTACTTTTACTGTGTATGTGTATGTGTATGTGTATGTGTATGTTCTTCCTTCTGTTGTGAGCTCATCAGTTTGTTTGGCCGGTTATTATTTCCCAACATTGTCAGCTGTTTCAGTTCAAACTTTGTTTTTGTTGTCACTGGTGCGCTGTACCAGGACATGTGTCCATGTGTCTATGCCATGTGTCACATGGACAGTTTAGTGAGAGGGTCGACTGTGTCAAACTCTATTTTTGTTTTTCCCCTATGGGCCAAACAAACGTATGTCAGGAACAGGAGATAGCGATAGTTGGAGTATCCTATTTTTAACCTACTTGGTCTGACAAAGCTAGATAGCACCATGTTTCACCAAGTGTTATTGTGAGGGTTAACTATTTTGTCTGCCACAACACGCCAAAATCTATGTGTGTCCCAACTAGGAAGTAGCATGGTCGGTCGAGAACCGTGTGTGTGTGTGCCTTCACTCGCAGAGTCAACTGTCAAGTGTGAGGGTTAATTTTTCGTTTTTCCTCCACAGGCCTAATGTGTGCCCGTACCAGGGAAGTTGCAATGGTGGGGTACAGAGAGCCGTGTGTGCGTGAGTGTGTCTCTGTGCCTCCACTTGCACATTCAAAGCGTGAGGGTTAACTTTTCTTGTTTTCCCCTCCACAGGCCTAATGTCTGTCCGTACCAGGAGGTAGCAATGGTCGGACACAGAGAGCCATGTGTGCGTGCCTTCACTCGCACGGTTAAGGTGTGGAAACCCAACTGTGGATCCTACCAAGACTGGTGTGTTGGGTATGAAAGGAGGTAAGATGCAATTTTCTTTTTAACTCACATTTATAGTTATTGACATATAGATACAAGCCTCACAGCATTACAGAAATTCTTTATTTGGCACATCATGCCATACTGTAAATGTCATAATTTTTTGCTGTTCCTACTTACTGGTATGTTGAGTATGAAAGGAGGTAAGGGTACTAAGATGAAATTTTATAGTTATTGATAACAGGATATAGATACAAGCCTCCTAGCCCTAGATGATTTCTTTATTTGGCACATCATGTCATACTGTAAATGTCATTACTTTTGCTGTGTTTTTACTTTAGTTTGTGGTTGAAACAATGCTGTAGTATATAAATTATAATGATTAGTGTTTAAAGTTAAAACTTTTGGTCCAACACAAAACATTCTCTCACCTAGAGCTTTCTACCTTAAGTTTAAACATGTAACTACCAACACAGATGAACTTTCTTGATAGTATAATAATTAGTGCTGTACTATTACTGTAAAAAGCATAGGAATTTAAAAGGACTGTACCATGAATATGCTAAGATTAACAGTACACACCAATGACAGTTTAGATATTGAGGCCCCATAGGGTGGGGGAATAGGGTGCAATTATATCATCCCTGATCAAAGAATAGGAAATCCATTATTTTGTTCCTGTGTTAATTGGCTATGAACACATCGTTGTGAAAAGTTTTTTTTTTTTTAAACATAAACTCAAATAGAAGTAAGGTAATGTCCAAGTTGTGCAGGAATAGAGTTTATAAGTATATCGTACACGTAGAACTTCATGTTAGCAAATTGTCTTAAATCACCACATTTTTCTTGTCAATGTCTGTTTGCAAGTAGCCCTCGGGCATGAATTTGCAATAAACAACTCTATAATGTATTAAAAACAATTTAAGAAAACGATTAATTTCACATGTGTTGTACACACAACAACATTGACACAAGAGCCACCTTAGACCTACAATTGGCATTATTAACTTTTCTTACGTGTATAGACAAAACGACAAAGGGACTTTGCTATTATGTAACTGTACACATTATATGTTGATTTTCTGACATTGTTGTCAATAAATACAATGTAAAGTGTAAAATAGACTGTGATTGGGTTGAAAATGAAATGTTTCTAGTACAAACAGACGAAAAGAAAACAATGAAATTCACAAGTATGGTAGAAATAACGTCAATGACACAACAGCAAATTATGTCATAAACGTAACAATCACTTGACTACAGATACCATTGGGCATTGTTGTTAACCTTCCCCTTACTGCATAACTGGCTAGCAATGCAGATTTGGATCTAAAATGCTTAACCTTTGCAGGGTGAAGGTTAACCTAAAGTACTATTAGTTGTTGAGCAGATGAACTAGTATATTGCAAAGTGCAAGTCCCGGGAAACCAAACCCAATACTAACAATCAAACACACAAGAGAAAACATTCAACTTCACACATACTCTAAAAAGACTGCGACAATCACAACAAATCACCTACTAAATTTAACGATCACTTGCCTACAGACAAAACAATCATCATTTTTTCCTCACCGAGTAGAGCAATACAAAGTACAAATATCCAAAACGTATGTAAAGATTGAATGAAAAATGTAATGTTAACAGCAAACTAAACAAAAACAACTTCACGTGTCCCCAGTTTACTCTCCATGTGTTGAGATTAGGCCATCGGCCTCACAATTAACTCATAAAGACTTCTCCTATGTCTACAGACAATAGAACTATTGCTGACTGTGTAACCTCTATAGATTGTGTGTTGTGTGGAAAACCCCTCAACTGACCCCGAACTGTTTGCGTTCGCATCTTGACTCAGTGTTCCCCCAGTCACAAGTATTTGTCAACTGCAAATAGACACTTCTTCTCCTCACAAGTTTCTATTGAGCTTAGACAAACCTCTGATCCTGAAACTCTGTCTGTTCTTACCGTTTCACCATCACAGAGAAGTGAAGCTGAATTTAGTAGATTCAGTGCTAGTGCTAGCTTGATCATGTGTATTAGCCTCTACCAGGCTTCTGGAGGCAGCTGGAAAGAGTAGAAGTTGCCCAAATAGAGAGATAACATGCCAGGGAGTTGGTCTGCTAGGGAGTAAGTTTGCTGCTCTGTTTCTCTCTCTATTTGGGCAACTTCTACTCTTTCCAGCTGCCTCCTGAAGCCTGGTAGAGGCTACATGTGTATGTATATACAACTTCTTGTGACCTGTCCTGTAAATAAAGGTCTTAATCCATTCATTTCTTTGTATTTTCCCGTCCAAAGAACGGCGTACTACACAGCGTATCGTCAGGTCTACCGCTCCACATACCAGACCAACTACCGCTGTTGCCAGGGTTACCAACAGCTGAACCGAGAGCCAGGATGCATGTACCGTAAGTCCGTTTTTGTTTTCCTTTTTTAATGGCGATGATCATGATAATGATCATTCTGGCATACTCACATGAGCGAGGTGAGGAGAGTTGTGTAAGTGCCTTTCCCAAGGGCACAAGGTTGGTGACTCTGTGAACAAGATAGAACTGTAATGGGATTGCTCATTCCTTGACAGAGACTGGAGTTATACAGTCGAAAATTTGGGTGGGTCCAATTTCTAATGTGTTGGCAATTACAGTTCAATCTTGTTCATAATGACTTCTACCAACACTGATGAACTTTCAAAATTAGGTTGGTGACTCGGTAGGATTCGAACCCAGGACCTATTGGTTCTGAGCCGAATATTCTGACGTTATGCCACATGAACCCCAGTAAGCTGGCGTCCCTTCTCCTAATCTCCTTACATAGCGGCTCTCCCATTCAGGCCGCCCAGCCGAGCCTAAAGCAAGCACAGGGTTTGTGTGGTTAGGTAGCCTCTGTCAATGGGCACGGAGCAATTAAACCGAGATGAGCAAACCAGAGCTCCACTTGGCACCGTGGTGTGATATGCTGGGCACAAATCGCAGTAACATTTCTGGTAAAAAAGAAAGTGATCTCAAACCAGTTTTAGCTCACTGAAGAGCTAATCTTCCACCGGTTGTAACAGAGAAGACAGATGCTATGACCAGTATTTACAGGTTCATTGTACCAGGAAATTCCCCTAGCTAGCTGCATTGTTTTGATGGCTGAGCTTTGATGGAGGTTTGTGTGTCTGGTTTGCCCCGAAAGGGTAGGTTGACAGCACGTGGGTGGTGGGGGAAGATTGGCAGGCAAAATGACGGGGTCAAAAGGTCATACAGTGAACATGAATCTGGCAGGGACCCAGCAGGAAATTGGGGTGGACTTGGGGGAATTAAGGAAGCGGAGGATTGCCTACATCCTGGAAGTCTGAAATCTCTGAGTCTGATTTCCTGAAAAAACTTGTCAAACAATTGTCTATGTACATCACCATTAGTAGGATTTGCTATTAGCCTGATTGAATCGTGCTTATAGTGGCCTGCCCAACTTTGACTGGCCCCCTGTAGAAAGTTGCCCGTTATAGCTACAGACATCTATGGAACAGTGATATTTATGTGATACAAAACTAGGTTAGCCAACTACTATTAGTACTAGGTACGTGTATAAGAAAGTCGTTATTCAAGCAACTGGCTTGATTTAGAGATTTTCAAGTAGATTTCAAAAGCTTTCCAGTTGAGTAACTGTTTTATAGCAGTTATAGTATATCTCATTCAGTCATTGCCTGGATGTCTAGCCTTCAATATATACTGGATATATACTGGGTACATGTTTGCAGCGGCCCTGATGTGAACTGTAGAGCGTGAACGACATTTGTGGGTCAGAGGAAAATTCTCAAATAAATTTCAAAATCTATCCTGGTGAGTAACAGTTTTATAGCAGTAATAGTATATCTCATTCAGTAATTGCCTAGATGTCTAACCTTTGATATACCATGGATATATATACTGTGTAGTGTTTGGGGTGGCCCTTATGTGAACTGTGGAGCGTGAACGACATTTGTGGGTCAGAGGAAAACCACACCACTGCTGGGTGCTGGGTGATTTATGTGGGAAGTCTGCATGGTCAAGTCTGGCCATTGACATGGTTAGCCTGGTCGGGACTGTTGGGGAATGGGTATGGTCTGGATCTCATGAAGGATAATCCCTGAAGTCTGATTGAGACAAAGAGAGGGAATTCGGCTGACAAGTAGAAGAGAGATGGAGAGAGAGGGAGGGAGAGAGAGAGGGAGGGAGGGACAGACAGCTAAAGACAAAGAGATGCATGGTCAAGTCTGGCCATTGACATGGTTAGAGAGAGAGAGGGGGGAGAGAGAGAGAGAGAGAGAGAGAGAGAGAGTGTGTGTGTGTGTGTGTGTGTGTGTGTAGAAATAGGATTGACCTATAACTTACAAGAAGGCATGATGTCTAATTTGTGAACATGACTATTTCTTCATACTTTTAAATTAGGAAGAAGGGTAGCTATAGCTCTTATGTAAACCAGGTTGGACAAACAGGGTTAGTGCTTGGTGGAATTCCTTGCTCTTTTAGAGCACTTCAGCGAACACAAGAAGATTATGATTTACTTTGTCCCCTCCTAGAGGGGGGTTTAACTGAAGTGTTCTTGCTGTTGAGGAAGGCTTTCGGAGAATCAGGTGCGTGCCTGGTACTACCACTTCACTCTAATCTGGCTTTGCAGGCTTATCAGGACGGGCTCATTATAGCAGGATGCTGTGAACACCCAAGGGCTTCCATCACATCTCTATCACCTGATGTTATCTTCACTGAATGTCTGAGAGCCAGACTAGGGGGTCTGTGAAAGTGTGATGGGAGGTCTTCACAGTTCTGTGGTAAAGTTGGGAGGGAAGGCTGACTACACTTTATTGAGGGCCTGCATGGGGGGTTCGTGATTACAAATTACAAAAAATTTTCGCCACCGATTACGAATTACGTTAAATTCTCAGGGCTGATTACAACTTTACGCTTTGCGGCTTATGTATCATTATGAATTATGTTGATTTTTGGGGAGGTTGCCAACGGATTACGAAAACTAAAAACGACGAAAAAAGGGCATGCAGGCACCCTTTATTCTTAGGTCAAAATCTTCTCAGCCTGGATGCCGGACCCAAAGCACACTTGGCCCCGAGTTAGCCAGTGTACTGAGTGGTCTGTAGTGTACCTTCTTTGGGGTATGTTGGCCCTGGAGCCCAGGAACTGGCCCGTATAGGCAGTAGAAACAGTTTGGAACCTAGGCTAGTAGTATGTTGGGCCTGGAGCTAATGAGCTGGCCTGTGTAGACCTTGGAAACAGTCTGGCACCTAGGCTTAAAGATATTTCCTGCACATTAGCCAAAATTGCTGACAACGCTTTTAGCTCAATCAGTGCGGTTGCGTAAGGATTGCATAATACTGGAACAGCTGATCAAGCCTTACACTAGAAGGCATGCAGACAGGGTTTTAGCTAGTCTGAAATTTCTTTCCGTCATCTCAATTTCCTTTGACGTAACCATGTCTAGTAGTAGTACAGAACCCGACTAGGGGGGTCCAGTGGGCATGCTACGGCTTATGGCTTTTTGCTATGACTCTTAACCCTCTGAAATGCTATTTTTTGCATCTTGAGAGAAAAATTTTCTGGTAGACTAAGCTTAGTTGACGGAGGTTCCTATATAAGTTCTTTGCTTAGTTCATTGACATCTAAATCCATCTTTACCCGTTGATTTTTGTCCATATGAGAAATCAGATTGGGCAAAATTTCTGTCGATCACGACCAGCAAAATTTCATCAAATGACGTAAAGACAGATGCTGTATGCCACCTCCCAGACAAGAAGACTGTCTGGCATCCTGTGCAACTGTTGCAGGGGATCACTGGGAGAGATCTGTGGGTTTCCGCTGCAATAATACAGTCCCCCACACCTTCTCTCTGGCCCAGTAGGCAGCACAAATAAATACAGGGTTTGGACGGAGGTCAGGGAAGAAACTTGAGAACTGGGCTCTCACTGCTTCACTGGATCAGTCTACAGTTCTAGACAGGGGATTTGGTAGACTGCGTTAGATATTCAGATCTGTTGGATGTTCAGATCTGTTAGATGTTCAGATTTGAGCAGATTTCTGATCCTACCAACTTCACAGAGGGGGCCAACAAAAAAAGAAGTGGATGATATCATGAGAACTGGGCCCTCACTGCTTCACTGGATCAGCCTACAGTTCATTCAGACTAGACAGGGGATTTGGTAGACTGCTTTGGATATTCAGATTTGCTAACTCGAGCAAATTTCTTATCCTACATATTATAGAGGGGGTGACCAAAAATAAAAGTGGATATAGATACTTCTTCACCCTAGAAATCAGTATGAATGCACTAGATTTTTTTCTCAGGTATTTGCAGAACAGAAAACGAGTAAATGGGCATTTGGAAAAAGTTCACCCATGCAAATGCGACAAGCAACATTTTTGTCATAGCACAGAAGGCAAATGGGCTCTTTGTAGGATGCACACTTGTTGAAGTTTTGATAAGACTCTGAGAGATAACCAATCCTTAGTAGTTACTATCTCATGCTCTGGCTCTATAGCCTCCACCAGGCCTTTCTACGGGAATACGGATCATAGAATTCGTCAAAAAAGAGAATCAAATTGGCCAAGGGAGTCCGACCGCGGGGAGGTAGTTTCTTTCCCTCCTCCTCGGGGCATAGTCAAACCCCAAGGCGGTCAAACTCCCCTGGCAAATATTCTCCTATATATAGCCAGCGTAGTTAGTCTGGTAGAGACTACTGGCTCTAAACCACAGAATCTTTTCTCGAATAGCCTGGTAACCAAACCTACTATAGCTCCTGAGTCCTACATCCTCTCCACAAATAACCAGGCTATTTCTCCAATGATATAGGTGTTGACATTATAACTATACTAGCACACAGAGTCTGGTCCATTTCAGTGAATGAAATCCTTTCTATAGAGATGCTTGGTTAGAATTTCATCCGATTAATCTGTTTACTTGTGCCAATTATGCTGGCGAAATTGCTGAGATTGGTTCATTTCAAACACTAAGTCTGCTATACAGAAACTGCTTAGTCAGGATTTCTCAGTTTGGGCAAGGATAATACTACAGTATCAGACTCTTTTGTTTCAGAAAGGAAATACTTGGCTAGAATTAAACTATTCACTATGATAATCAGATTATTTGCCAAAATTACATACATAAGTCTGAAGAGATTGTTATAAATTTATTTATGTCTGATAAACCCGGGACATTCTTCAACAAACAAGTACTTGGTTAGAATTTCACTGTCGTAATCACTTTTCAATAGAAGCTCATCCCGGATATTAGATGGTAAGCTAGGGACGATTTAGAACAACCGGAAGTCCTAAATCTTACACTAAGAAAACAAATTTCAACATCATAATCAGTTTACCACAAACTTATAATTATAATCCTATATACATGTATAAGATAAGCCTGTAAGCCACAGAAATAA